CACTGGACAATTTTATGTATTTAAAAGAGAAATACCATCGTGCAGGCAATTTCATATACAGACATGAAAAATTTGACTACTTGAGAACAAGAATGTGTTAGTTTACAGAGTTTTCCTTATTAAATAGTTAGGAATGGGAATTGCACCAAAAAAAGTTTCTACAAAATAATGTTTAGAAGAACCCTGTATTGCCACGATGTCATAGATTATATAAAGATAAATAAGCCTGGGGTAGTTTAAGAGCACATCCAAAGCTCCACTATTTTCACTTCTTAATCCCTCCAAAGCAGTCGGAAATTGACCTGCAATTGATGTCACTGTTACTGCTCCTGAAACACAGGGAACATCCTGAAATCACCATAAGTCAAACACTACTCCCCCAGCTAACCAAGATGGGAGCACAAAATATTTATTCAATCAATATCCCACCCCTGAACTACAGCAGATCATAGAGAAATAAGCCTCACCTCTTCCCCACTTCACACAAAAAGGAAATAAAATAGATTGATACCAATCACCTTATGTTGCTATGATGATAAGCTCTGTAATAAAAATGGTTTGGGGGGAAGGAAAAATTACCAGCACCAAGACAGCAACTCTATTACCATTTAGCTGAGAGTAAAGTATTTCGGAATACACACGTGTGATTACAATCAAATAATTAAAATTTTCTATTCTTTCTATTTAAGCAACAGTATATTTCTAACAATTATGTACAGAACAATGCAAAGACCTATGTTTGCATTTAATTTGCTAATAGATTTTCCATAAATTACTAAGATTATGTGTAATTGCATAATAGCAAAAAAGGATTATCTATTGTGTCACAGGTATTCCAATGATTACATTTAAACTCTTATTGTATTCAGTTAAAACAATGGTCATTCCCGGCTGCTTTACATAGCTATCAGTTTTCTTACATTGTGCAAGTTTCTAGTCTTCCCTTTCTTTTCAGCAATGCTATTCAAGATACAGGACACAAATATCTTGTACGCATATGACTGAGCACACATATTCAAAAATGTGTTGAAGTATATGTACATTTAGATGCACAGCTCTGTGTATTTAGTTTAGTTGTTAGTATACCCAGACCAGCCATAAAGTGCAATTACAGACTAATAACTAATACTGTGGAAATTCTTTGAAATAAATCCTTCAGAACTATGGGAGCATCTAAAAATGAAATGAAATGGTTGTACATGCACATGCATGCAGGGACATCTGAGATTTGCTCCTGAAGCAGCAGCATGAGCTTGGAAAAGATGTAACCGCTTTAACCATCCTAAAAGAGGCAATTTATGCTCACTTCTGCATGTTACAAAGCACTTCTTCGAAGAATTTGAGCAACAATACTAATGACTAGCAAATTAAGCAACTATTAGTTCTTCTGAAAAGTGAGATGAGGGTAGAGAAGAAGTGGAAAAGCACAACCATTTCTGTATCAGCATTTTAATTTCTTTGGGGTTTTTCCATACTGTAGAATGGAGAAATTCTTTTCAGAAACCAAGTGATTAAGACAGACATCCAACATTGGTAAAATGGCTCTGCTCCTGATCAGATCATACATCAATGTTTTCACATCGAAAAACCCAAACTCTGAAATGATGCCTATTCAGCCACTCCAAAGTTGGGTAGGATACCAGCTGGAAAAAGAAAGGCCTGGGGTGTGCACCTTATTATTACAAGCAATAAGGCTATGCAAACCATTAAAAAGAGGCACTTTACAACACACAGGAACAGGCACATGTGAGAAAACTGACAACCACTTTTAACACAGCTGCCCCAAAGTCTTGCAAAAAATATAGCTGTTTTAACAATTAGAAGATGCCTTGTTCATACTTCTGCATATTAAAAAAACACCTATTTAAATGTCTATTTAGCTCTAACAAGGAAATATGACTACTGCCTCTTATAATTGAAACAACAAATTAATAAACTATGATTGCATGCTGCTCAAATCTCTTCCACCTGGTGCCTCCATTCACATGAGTGGGCAAACCAACCAAAAGGCCACATTGAAAGAACACTGAAACAATGTGATTCTGGGGTTATTTATTTATTTATGTGAACCTCCCATTTTGCCAGGTATCTCCCCTGGCAGTTTGATGTACGCAAGCATTCATGCTCCACAATAAAGAATTCAATATAAATATCCCCCAAAAACTCCCTATGGAATTATTTCTGCTGATGCTCAAGGAAGATATTCAGAACTTTCTGCCAGATTATGTCTGAAAAAGCATCAGCCCCACGCGCTTCTATACTTCTTCCCTGCTTGGGCTGATGCTGGGTAACAATGTTCCAAGTATTGCCACAATAAAAATCCTGGAGCTAGAAAGAGGGGAAATCAAGATATTCCCAACCACTGTCTGATATTTTAAAGTCAAGATAAAGACTTTTTGATCCTAACCTTACAACAGGCCAATGCTATATTCAGCAAGGCAAGTTTAATTGCTGAAGTCTGCCAAAAGCCTTTCAGACATCAGTTCTGATTAAGAAAAATAAACTACAGCCACTGCAGCATTTCCAGGGCTAAAACTAAGGCACACACAACTAAGCTTTGTAGTCCAGTTACATACTTATTTTTCAGAACAAAACTAGATGTAAAAGTTCTGTGACTGATTTGTTCGTGCATGCACATATGCACACACTCACATTAAGTGGCATAAAGATTCAGATTATAGAATGGCTTCCCTCCATAGCCATTTTTGCTCTATTTGAAAAAAACAACATATAAAAAGCAAGTAACTGCTTCACAAAAGTGGTTTTGATAGAAAATGATACAAGGAAAAGGAGTTTTAAAAACTCTCCCTCAACATATTCAGGATCTGGATCAACATTTTCTATTTCTTAAAATATATATTGGGACATCAATTCTGGTTTGATTCTCAGAGATATGTTCTACTGGGTTTAAGAATGATGAATCACAATGCATGTGACTGCTACTTACTAACATTGGTGGAATTACACTTTTATTTACACTAGGGAAGACATATTTTATAATCCTTTCCTTAAAAAACATTAACCATAATTCCATGAAATGGTGAGCATGTGTCAGAAATAAAGTATTCCCATTTGCTTCTCCCCACTCCTACTGCTCTTTATTATGAAATACCTAGTTTGTGTTAGATCAGAATTTCCTAGTACAATCTGACTTCTGTCAGTTAATTAACCCTAAACCAGTAACATATCTAGAAAAACAATTCAACAACTTTTAATGGCCCAAAGACTATCTTATATTATGCCATGATATCAGATAATTTTTGCAAAAGAATACACTTGAAGAGCAAGATATAGCTTACTGTTTTAATTCTGGATTTTAGAATTATAGCTGACTTGGTTCGATTTGTGTGTGTGTGTTTTTTAATACCTATATTCAGGCGTTTAGATTCCATCATTTCATGCAAATATATTTGTTCAAATTCTATAACATACATCCTCAAAATCCAGAATGATAAAATCAAAACAAGCAAGATTAATTAAATATATATCTTCTTCAATATTTCCAAAAAAGACTATTTAAGGCAGCAAGAAGCATTAAAAAGAAGGAATCTGATGTTAAGTTTTAAAATCAGAACAGTGAAGTATTAAGGACAGGGAAACATAGAAACATAGATATGGTTGTTTACTATGTTTCACCAGATTTTCAAAAAAGGATCTTATTCAGGATTCTTTGCTTACTGAGAACAGATGCTCCCCTGCTTCATTTGCAGCCAACTGTAACATGGTGCCAACGGAATCTTCCCATTCTGCTCTTTCTCTCTACTGCACATAATCTAAAACCCTAGTACAATTCAAAAGTTCAGAATTGTTAAGAAAAATATTCTACGAACAAAATGTGAAATCTTATTAGTAATTTGCCTATACAATTTACACTAAATGCAAATTTCTGCTGTTTCCCCATTAACCAAATCAGACTTGTTAATTTATATTAATCTACTTAGCAAACAATTTATACTGGCATAAGAAGACTTCAAAGCTATGGCCCAAAGGATAAAGCTTACAAGAGAAGATACAGGATTTTCTGAGTTCTTCAAGTAATATCAATGATAGAGTCTGACTTGGTAGGATAAATCTGACAGCAAATGTCCTCTCTGACCATCAGCCATCAAATTATGCTCATTCTAAGATTAGGAAATCACAACCCAGAAAATCCTAAAAGGGAGAGTGACAGGGTAACAAAGGCAGAATATGAGACCATTTTCATAGACTGCCCTCTCCAATACACACACCTAGAAAGTACAGATTACTTCAAGAGCTGGTCCAAATAAATTTACCATCCACTGCTTAGAAAGAGAAGGAAGAGCTTTGTTTTTGTTTTTTAAACAAAGTGGATGGAAAGATTCTGTGTCTTCATTCCTACCCTCTTGAGCACTGCAAATCAGAAGTAGCAACAAGACATTTAGATTGTTCTTACTGACTACAATCCTATATTCACTGACTCAGACAATATAGGAATGACTTCATATTCAAATATGCATTTCCTAGAATTGTTAAATGTCATTCAACATCAAATAATGCACATCCATCCTATGATATTGAAAGTCTAACTGATTCTTTTTCACATGCCACAAATGTAATGACTTTACATGCCTCATTTTTATAAAACTCACCAAAGGTCAAGAGTTTTTTTTTAAAAGACATCAGACACACTTCAAAAAAAACCACAATACTTGCAAAATGAGAAAAATTCTGCCTCTATACGAATGTGAATAAGGGACAGCATTACACAATAGTTTGCTACGTGAACAGCAGATTCATGGGTATGTTTGCCAAACTGTAGAACATACATGTAAGTACGTTTTATCCCATATATCAATTATAATCATGAACCCAGCAGCAGCACACACACACAGTCATGTGTTTTGTTACCTGTGATGATGTATGCACAAAGTCCATGGAGGTTCATATCTGGAAATAATAACTTTAAAAAAAAAACATGAAGCAGCAACAGACATAAAAGCAAAAACAACATTAAGGGAAAGGTTTAGAGAGTAAGTTACCTCTTGAGTTCTTTCAGATGGTTTCTTCCTCAAAGCTTGTTTAATCCTGGGATCTACAAGGGATGTCATCCTATTACTCTTGTTATCCAATTACAGAATTCTTCGGGGTTAGTTTATGAAAGCGAGCGAGGGAAAACAATACACTCGTTCGGAAGCGCGATTTTTTTCCCCTTCTTCTTTTTAAGTCCAGCTAAGCCCCTGAGTTATAATGACGTTGGTTTAAAGGGTTTTTTCTTTCTTTTTCTTCCTCCTTCTCCTTCTCCTTTCGTAACTAATCCCAAACAACTGGCAAACTCGAAGGTTTCACGAAGAGAGGGCCGTGGCCAGCCGAGGGAACTGGAGATCCAGCACCAGCCGCGCGTCCCGCCCGGGGTCGCTCTTCGGCAGCCGGGAGGACAGCGGCGGCTGCGGCTCCCCTGCTTTCTTGCTTACTCTCGAGGAGCGCCAAAGTCGCGCGTGCGGAACCCCCCTCGCTTTCCGTCCTCCCAAACTCGCCCGCTTCGCCACTACTCGGCGCGA